AAATCTCAAAATTTGTCCAAGTACAATTGTCTGAGATTGATTGAAAAACATCCGCTACTGCCATCAATTGCCCAAAGGGCTGTAATTCACTGTTGACTGTCATCCCTCTTAGCTCAGTGGTAGAGCGCGTCACTAGTATGATATCATTCATATGACGAGGTCAGTCGTTCAAGTCGGCTAGAGGGAAGTATGGCTAGAAGCGTTGGTTTTATTTTTTCAACTTTCTCGTAGTCGTGTATATAAGCCCTCGGATGCCGAAATTTACTTGCAATGCCAATTTATAAACCCATCGAACGTTGGTCTAACATTGACTTGAGGGCTGACAAAAGCTCTAAGTAACACATGTACCACTGTCACACCAAAAAAAAAGTGCGAAAACGAAGAAGAAAAACACCACGATGATCCAGGGCGGAATACAAGCTGCGGGGAGTAGCACTAGTGACGATCCTCTACTACTAGGATTGCATGCACTTTAAATTTCGGGGATCTACGCGTGTTGCGACTGGATCTCCACTCCCGAAGGTGCCGAACGGCTCCTGAGCCTCAAGCACTGGTCTGGTACCTGGGACTGGATACGGTACTTCCTAGACGGCAATAACGGAGTCACTACGCAGCCCGGCAAGGCCATCCGCCGTATGTTCACCAAGATCCTGCGCCATAATTACCCCGATACTACTGCGTTGAAGATGTTCAAGGGCACGGAGGGCCTGTTCCCGCGCATCATACACATCTGGAAAGACGTAAAGACGCTGTACGACCCCGGCCTCCCTACGCGCGCTGCCGTCATGCGCGCCGTCGCGTCGCTCATCAACCTCGACCCCATACACATGTGCACCGCCCTAGCCGGCGAGTTCGCCAACCCCTCCGACCTCGCAGCGCACCTCGCAGAGAACTTCGCCGTGTTCTTGCACGCCGAACACCATGTACAGGAGTTCATGTCCCTCACAGTCCTCACGTTCAATCTGACAGCCGCAGGCTCCCCTCATATCACCCACGCGCTTGCGGTGGAACGTAAATACTTCGAAACGATGTGCTCCGGGCTGACCTTTGTTGGGGCCCCTATGACTCTCGCTAACGCACCGGAGGTAAACACAGCCCACCTCGCAGCATACTTCAGGTATATGCTTCAGCTCCTTGGGCTCCCGAATACCGTCCACTGGATCGGGGAGGTGCTCGACGCGAAACTGCTGCAATCCCTGCTCGAGGCGATGGGGAACTTGGCTAGCATCGCCCCCCAGGTCCCACACGCGACATTCGTCGAGGCAGATAAAGCCACCTCAGGAATTGTCAATTTCCTGTATGGGTATGTGGCGGAGTGGCCTGTGCTTGAGCGGCTGGTTGGGATCCTGCAGAAGCCGGAGATCTTGTGCCTGCAGGAGGCGATTCCTGAGGATGGTGAGTTCCGTGCGGCGTGGAAGGCTTTCTGTGAGAAGGCATTGCAACAGCGTGGGGGCCGTAGGGGAGTCGGCTCCAGATAATTTATAACTATGGTCGGTACACCATTTTATTATTATTGGAAATGAATATTCTCCCGCGGTTCAAATACTCGGGTCATTCTACAGCGAGCTTCAACGCGCTCCTTGCTGTGTGCGATATCTGGGCAAACCTTCAAGGCGCTATCACCGACACTGCTTTTTCAAATCGCAATGAAAACTTGATATGTTCGTGGTCTGTGCGTTATCAGAGCGCAGATCTTCTTCCTGCTGGTGGATGAGACGAATTTCAATGAGCTGAAGTAAGATTGCCGTAGCGCCGCAGCCCACGGTGTACACCATAACGCGAACTGCCCGAAAAAGTGGAACTTTTCGGGTGGCTACCTTCTGGGCCCAAAAGCCCATTGTGAAGAGGAAATAAGCATAAGCACACTTTTTCCATGATCATTTACATTGTTTATTGGAATCTATTCCAGCAAATTGTGTAAGTATGCACATGCGTAATTATCAAATGAAATTTAATTGCATATGCACCAACTGTAATTGTGGATTCAGAGCCAATAATTAGGGGGAAAAATGTAGCAATAGACTGAATGCTATCGACGCCAGCAGGATTTGAACCTGCGCCCTCAAAGAGGAACAGATAATGAGTAATTCAAATCTGTCGCCGTAACCACTTGGCTATGACGTCTTAGCTCCATCTTGACTTTATCATATTCAACAAATTGAATCCACCGATGTTCATCAACATTGACCACGAGAACCTTAGCTACCACTATGCACTCTAAATTGAAATCTCTTTGCAATATGGCTGGCAAAGCTCTCGAATAGCGCTCTATCCCGCCCATATTTCCACCTACCTGGAGCTCTGACACCTCCGCCGGAACGAGCGCAACTATGCAAGCCAGGGCTGGACTGTTTGAGGCCTCGCTCCCCAAAGTCTCGTCTCTTTTGCGCTTTCGGCGCGCACCACGCGACCATGTATCCTGCATTGCAGACACGATGTACGACCGACGGTTGGCTTCACTTTCCGTCCTATCGTTTGCGCAATGTAGACTGACATTGATGCCCTGCATGTCATCTAGAACGCGCCCTATAAATTCTCCAGAGTCATCGCCTAAAGGGAAATGCAAGGTATTGCGTAACGGTAGAAGACGATGTAGCGTTGGATTGGGATGTGAAATGCGTGCTATATCCTGTATGGATCTGGATGTCAGTAAAAACTCATCATTGCAGGAAGAGACGACATACGTCACCCAGCCGGTAATTGCTGTGCGACCATCCAACCGCCCAACGCCGTGTTTGCCCTTGCACGAACTCTGTTATCGCATAATTTGTGATCTACATGGACCAGTCAACTTTACATTTGAAGCATGAGTGAAGAAGCACACCTCAAGCTCCTTGAAAAGTTCTATTATTTGCTTAACGGAGCCCATCTTTCCCAACATCGAAGTATACCACCTCACAATCTTCGTTCCTGATCGCGAATAGTGATTCGAGCCCGCCTCTGGTTCTGGTTTGGGTAACATGGTGCCATCTGCTGCACAGCGCCGTTTTTCATTCTGCTTGTCGTATTCGCCTGCGTTCTCTTGCGTGACGGTATTTGAGTGCATACTCTCCCGCACCATCGTACTGACGAAATGCACTTCTCCGCCTTGTGTGATCATCTCCACCGGTGCACCGGTGCAGACCTAGTAAGGGAGATAATTCGAGTTCGATTAATGACCCAAATTCTTCATCAGGTCAATAGGTACAACTCACCCCAAATGCACCCAACTCCTTCGCTGCCTTGCTGCCTGTCATATCTTCTAGACTGCTATAGAACGGCGGGTTACACATTGTGAACTGTATTTCCACGCCGTCGTTGTACGTCGGGTCAGTCTTATTCCTTGACTCTGAGAAAAGACGCTCGAAATCAAAGCTGAGCTCCCCGTCCAGACTTTGGGTCTCAGGACTAGATGTATTCGCAGGTACCTTGGCGATGTGAATGCGCCCAGGAAGATTGTTCGCCCGGACATTGGCGCTAGCGTAGTTGTACGATCGTTCATCCAACTCTGGAATGGCTCAGACTGAGGCCCAAGTCCGAATTGTATGCTGGGGGGACGAACCTGTCGCAATGAATGTCCAATTCTGCTCCAGGGAACATCCTAGCAGAGGGTAAATAGCGGATGCGCCTGTTCCTCTGTGGGTGGATGGATTCAGAAGCTATGCAAATTGTGATGGTAGTATTGTCACGTACATGTCCAGCCCGCGCACGACCAAGTTACCTGTGCTAAGACCATCCACACAAGTCACGGTATCTCTAATCGCAGTTACAATATCTTGGATCCAAAGCAAGTAGTTAAGCCTTCATCGGTGTTATTTAGATGGAGATGTTCGTGAGAGGGCAGGGATCGATTACCTGTTGGGGACCTGGCATGGTAATGAGAAAAGCAGCGTAAAACCACAAGCTTGAGCGAGAACGTACAGGAGGACAGAGTCGGTCTGGCGGAAGGTCGATGTCGAGGTTAAAATCAAGCTTCAGAAGCGCTTGGGTAAGACATCTAAACTCAAGGTCATCTCTTCGGTACATCTAACAGTGAATGCACCGGGATTTGATAGTACCGTTGGGCTGCATCATCGTGGAAGTCAATAGAGCGGCCGTGAATGCTGTTTGAACAGTTTAGATAACGTAGAAAAGAATGCAAAAAACCATACTGGTATGATAGGGGTGGGTAGGCGCGTGCTAGGGCTTCAAAGTTTGGGGGAGTACAGTAAGGGTTGCGGGGGTGCATTCAGGTTCGAGGAACAATTCTGAATAAAAAACATATCATACGAGATCATGCGAGTATATTGCAACGACGCCAGCAGGATTTGAACCTGCGCCCTCAAAGAGGAACAGATTTCTAATCTGTCGCCGTAACCACTTGGCTATA